ATTCAAACCCGTCCAGTATAACTTTATTTTCCACACCTGCTATTTAATATGAAACATTAATAATAATTATCAAGTTTAATTTTTTGTTTTCAGAGGAAGATTACGATGCCTTTTGTTTGGCTTACATGTTCACGTACAGAGATTTTGAAATGGGTACTTTGGGTTTAGCGTGGACTGGGGATTTGAAGAACGCAGGCGGTGTATGCGAAAAAAACGGAGTGAGTATCTAGAATTTCGTCGACGGTTTAACGTTTAAAACAAATCCCATATTCAAYATAGTTATTATATGATTAAACTTGTATTTCAGCATTACCGGGGTAGCTTAAAAAGTTTGAACACCGGTATAGTGACTCTATTGAATTACGGAAAACACGTACCTTCCGCAGTGTCTCACGTTACACTGGCACACGAAATTGGCCATAACTTTGGTTCGCCGGTTAGTATATATAAAACTTAATAAACAATATTTATTCATCGTTAGTTTTTATGTTTCATCCATTAATTTAACTGGATTTGCTTGCAGCACGACCCCGAGATATGTACGCCCGGCGGTGACGACGGTAACTATATTATGTTCGCTCGAGCAACTTCGGGCGACAAGAAAAATAATAATAGGTTTTCGCCGTGTAGCTTGTCCGCTATAAATCCTGTGCTAAACGTCAAAGCCAGGAGCACTAGAGGATGTTTCACCGGTACATAATATTACAGTCATAATTTAAATTAGATCTTATTATTTATTTATTGCCATTATTTTTTTATTATTATTATTATATTCATTGAGCGTGAACGCCGAACGGTATTTAATTATATATAATTTATATATATTGTATGTATACACATTATAAATAATGTATTCGTTTTTATTTTTACAGAACCACAAACATCGATTTGTGGTAACGGCGTCGTTGAACCTGGCGAAGAGTGCGATTGCGGATGGGAAGAGGACTGCAAAGATGCGTGTTGTTTCCCTCAAAGGAGATATGCTCCGCCTGAAGAACCACCGTGTAGATTGACGGCAAAGAGTGTCTGTAGTCCTTCACAGGTACGACCCAATTGCTTAATCCGTCCGCGGTGGCGTTCCTGCAGATCCTCTATATTGCATGTAWAGCAAATAAATATTTATTTAAATTTTAGGGGCCATGTTGCACAAACGATTGCAATTTGAAAATAGGAGATCTTTGTCGAAATGACAATGGTTGCCGCGATGCTAGTTACTGCAACGGAATGGTTCCTACCTGTCCTGCTTCTATCAACAAGCCAAATAAGACTGTATGCAATGAAGAGTTTGTGTGCTACATGGGAGTAAGTGTATTATAATTAATACTTGTAGCTATACCTTTGTTTTTACATTTTACTATATGTTATATTTTTAATTAATTGCTTGTAATTTTCTAGGAATGTACTGGATCTATATGTCTTGCATATGGACTCGAATCCTGCCAATGTTTACCCACCCCTCAGGATTCTCCCACTAAAGCGTGCGAGTTGTGTTGTAAACTACCCGGCGAAAATCAACCTTGTTTGTGAGTGATATTTTTTTTTTATTACCTACAGATAATAAAAATAAAAATTTGCAAACAATTAATAAGAMATGTAATATATAAAAATATTAAAATTAAAATGACTGGGTAACTTAAGATTGAATGGAGTAAAACTATTTTTATTTTTTTATTATTATTATTATTAATTGTTTATGGCATCAACTACATGGTTATTAGCCGGAGTAAAACTGTTATATATTATGAAAAAACTTTAGATACCACTTTGTGATAATAACCTATGACGTCTATTTAATTAGGTCATCATATTCTTGGAATAATGTGCCATACGACATACCAGATATGTATTCTAAGCCAGGTACTCCGTGTAACGACTACAATGGATATTGTGATGTATTTCAAAGATGCAGAGAGGTATGTATAATATCGCAATCATTATTAATTTTTAAAAACAAACGTATGTTCAATGCTTATATAAAAATTTAAAAATTTAAAAAAAATTATATTGAATATTTGTTTTATCTAGGTTGATCCATCAGGACCTTTAGCAACGCTTCGAAAATTGTTGTTGTCGGAAGAAAGTATTGCCTCATTTAAAAAATGGGCTATAGATCACTGGTACTATTCTGGTCTAATATTGGCCTCTTTCTTGTTAATGCTGGTACGTTTAACATTGTTTTGCACTTAATTAAATACATATAACATAATTTATTTTTAAATTTTTTTTGTTTACTTAAATTTTTTTTTCATAAATACAATCACGCGTTAAAAATATGTGTTCAGGTTATTCGGAATTCACATTGTAAGTCATTCTATGTATGAAATACAGATCCTAAAATCCAGTATTTACCTTATCCAGTTAATTCCACAATGTAGACTACAATATTGTAATCCATAGACTTATATAGATACCTTATTATAGGGCTTAAACCATAATTTCATTATATACATTCTAAAATTAACGAAATTGTAGGAGTTATATTATTGTGATGTATTAAAGCCGTGCCTATGTTTTATCGACCTATAATGATTARYAGTGTCTAATATTACAATTATAAACATTTTCAGGTTCTAAGTACGCGATTGTTTGGAAAACGATCGGATCCAAAATTAAAATCGGTGACGATCATTCACAGTTCGACCACAGAAACTGTCCGGTTGCCAGCTGACGGCGACARTCAAAACGTTACCGTACATCCCGCTGCCGTTCGTTCAAAACTCCCATTGAAAAAACGCGTACGTGAAAAACGTAACGTAAACAACAACAACAGTCCCGCGAAAAAGAGTCGCAAGAACGTCGCGGCCGAGGAAGAGTCGACGACGGAGACGTCTTCGCCCAAAAAAGCGGGGCCGGGAGCCCAAAAGAAAGAACGTAAAACGAGGCGGAAGAAATCGAAAGGCGTCATCGACTACAGCGTAGCCCAGAACAAGGTGCTCGTGGCGAACAAGAAAACGCCCGAAGACGACCCGCTGGGCAAGGTTCGAAATTGGCTGTTGAACTCGCACCACATCGAGGCCCTCGGTGGCACGCTGAGGAAGTCGAAATCATCGCCAGCCGGTTTCGCAAATCCCCCCGAACCGCCCAGGCCGGTGGCCAAAGCTCAACCAAAAACCAAAGACAATCAAGTTAGTTTGCAGGTAGTGTACAAGCCCCCGTTCAAGTTTAGCGTCAAGCTCAGCAAGTCCAAACCGGACCTGACGAAAGACAAACGCCCAGACCGGAGCAAGCAGCGCGCGGCCCTGTTGATCCGGGCCAACCGGGCGCGTGGTGGCGCCGCCGCCGGTGGTGCTGTCAAACAACAAGCGAAAAAGCAGCAGGCCAACAATAACGGAAGCAGCAGCCGGGCCGCCCAGCCGGAGCCGATGAACGTGWCGGCTGCGGCCACCGCCGGCAGACTGCAGCCGCCGGAGCCCATCTACGAGAACGCGGCCATCGACTTGCTGCGCATGTCGTCCACGGAGCACGACGGCCACCAGCCTATATTCCCGGTGGCCGCGTCTCCGCCGAACAAACAGAGGAAGTCGTTCGCGGGCGTGGACGCGAAAACGGACGAGGTGCCCAGGAGCAAGCAGAACAGCGTACCGCAACAGTCGCTACAGCAACCGAGCACGTCGGGCAACAGCAATCTAATGCGATTCCCGTCCACCGAGAACAAGGATCAGGCCAACAACAACAGCTGTCTGACGCCAGCCAATAACGCGACTAGTAAATCCGACGAAAACCGAAAAGACGAAAAAACGTGATATGCGCGCAACGAGGTAATTTTTATTTTTTGAAATTATTCTAATACTGATGTTACGATAATATTCCTCTTCCGTCATCGTTACGACAGTAATCGTTTGTCTCTACGTTAGTCTCATATTATATGCTTACCGCGACGACGCAAGTGATCTCAGTCCCGAAGCTATCCCTTCATCGCCCACCCACACCCGTCCACTTCCGTTAAAAATTTGTCGTCCGTGAAAATAATATTYTCGTCCRCCGCATGTCCCGGTCGCCAACCAGTCGTGAACATAATAATGTAACCTATTCAAATATCCACCGTGTCAGTCATCTTTACGACGTAGAATCATAATTTCTTAACGTTTTGACGTACCGTCCGATCGACACTATACTCTGTAATGATTGATGTTAATAAACGTTACGAAAATAATATGAAAAACTAACTCGTGAAAATCGACATTGCGAACGACAATATTTCGAAGGTCTTTTTATCGAGCTTATTACTCTCTTTTTTTACGTGTTTTCCCATTCCGTTTATGTATTATATTATATTAGGTAAAGCCCGCGAGATTTTGAAACATAATAATATATTATAAAAACACCAAAACGCATCCATCACAAATATTATTATGCAACACACTGTTTGTTGTAGGTAATAAACGAAATTATAGTCATTTTTATTATTAAACGAGTTTCCCTCCTCACCTCCTCATCRTCATTCGTTTTMWTTTCGTTTCCACGCGAACAACAACAGTTCGTTTCGGGCTGCAGTGCACAGGGTTTGAAAAATCTACAGACCTTTTTATTTCTACATATTATTATTATTATTATAAACTAA